AAGTTTCTTGATTGCGCCGGATCGAGAGCTCGATCGCGCCGGGACTCCCCCCAACTCTAATCTGGCACACGCGCACCTCTGAATCTCCAAATGGAGGCGCCATCTGGTGCACAGGAGTGCCGATATCTTGTGCGCGGATCGATATCAGTCTCCTCACGGTGAGAGGCGCGGCAGGGAGTGATTTGCCAAGTTTTCATTTAGTTCCTATCCTTCCTTCCTGGAGTTCCAATCAACGAAATCGATGATGAAAGCACGGGCAGACGCGCAGTCAACACCGCGTCGACGGCCGAGCGAGCTGCGTCGGAGCGCCGAGCGCGAGACATCGGTGAAGGAACTGTTCGGCCGTCTCCGGATGCATGGGTCCACACCGAGAAAGTAACAATCACTGAGCAGACCATGACCTAATGGCTGTCTCCGGTGCAACTGGTCGGGATTGATCTAATCACCGAATCGGAGAGAGCAACTGCCCGATTCACGGACTGAGTGAGCGACAGACCAGTAAAGCGGTCATTCCGCCGCTAACCGATATGGGCATAGCTCAATGGTGTCCGGCATTGATCCGACTAGAGCCTAATGACTGTCTTTTCTGAGGAAACAAAATCGAATGCTCAGGCATCGGTCTTGCCCCGCTTCTGTTCGCGTGGTCTCTCTTTTCTTCGTTCGCCTCTTCCTGCTCTCGCTGTCCGTTCCTATTCATTCAGCGTCTCGTCAGATAGCGCCGGTGGCGGATCAGGTGCGTCGCTTTCCGCCCTAATGGAGCGAACGGCCTCTAACGACATTTAGCGTTATACTCCGTCTTGCGCACCATGCCGGAATGAACGTCCTGTCCGATGCCCTCATTCGGGCGAGGATCTCCCCGTTTCTCCATGCTGCCCATCATATCTCCTCTTTCAGAACATCCCGGAGCCGCATCTGGAGCTCCGTCGTGAATTATTTAGCTCAGGATGTCCGGCAGCCACGAACGAGAAAGAACTTGGCAACGGATCGCTGGTACGGACCACCGACGATTTCATTGTCTTTTCCGATGGACGTCCTCATCTTCGTCTGCATCAATCGATGGACATGTGAAAGCGCTAGATGCGTGGCGGATAGCGGAAATTTTCCAATCCCAGGCTCACGGAGACCCTAATCGGGACTCTTCGAAATTCTGCAATTCCGAGATGATTGCGAAGCAGTGGAATGGATGATACGATAGATGACGTACAGATTCTGGTTTGATCCTTTCGTCAAGGTGTCCTCTGATGGCTCGGATCGATTCACCGGGAAGCCGGAGTGACTCGATTCCGGGAACGCATGTACATATATAAATTATAATAAGTATAATAATACATAGGTGCTCGGGGCTAGAGCCTCAGATAGTTCTGTGACCCCCATACGGAATCCCTTGTATGGTCTGGAGAGCTGGCTCATCCAGATTGGGCGGAGCGAACGCATGAACACAAACGTGATCGCTGTAATGGAGAGTTCCCGTCGACAACCTCGGGTTTTGTATCCTGGTCGGAGCGAGAAGCGTCTGATATGTTCGATTCTCGCGACACACGAGTTTATTGAGGAGCATTCGGTTTCTCGGATCAGATCCGATCGGGACCAGACTTAATCCTTCGGCTGGCGATTCTCCTCCAAATCGAGACCAGCTCGGTCTACAGAGGATGTCCGTGTGCAAAGCCTCCGGGAGACAATAGAGTCTGGAATGTTGGCCGCGATACGACATCCACTCCAACGTCTTGCCTCCATGAATCAATTGCTTCGTCTTGTTCCTGTCTCGTGTTGTCCGTATGTAGGCCGTTGGCAGGGCTTGTGCGGCACGAGATTCCGACGCGGCTGTACACATCCGAAGTTTGGGATGCGATCCATCGTACTCGATTCCTCAGTCAGCGAAACTCGATCGATCGACTTCGCTGTTGTGAGCTCCGCAGAGCTTTTTCGATCTGTTTGAGCAGAAGCCACGGCGGCAGCGGTGGTCGCAGTCTTGAAATGCAACACGCCTCCGGCACAGAGTCGTAGTCCCTATCGCTGACGTTTAATAACGTCACTGATTGGAAGGCCGCGAAACTTCCCCTAGCGTACCATAATCTTCTCAAATAAAGTTCGCGACCTTCGCAGTTCATATTGTAAGCGGCGCCTGCAGAAGTTCCGGGCCGAGCCGTGTTCTTTGTGACGCGTCGCCGTTCCCCACATCTCGTCCGCAGTACGGCCGGTGATTCGTCCAACCGATCGTCCGTCCCTTCGTGTGCCCCTCCGTTCTGGTCTCAATTAAACGCCACACGAAGTCATGGTAACGAGACCAAGTCTAAATATAGCTATCGATTAACTGTAAGGCATCGAACCGCTACTTGAGGCTGGACCCATCCATGCAAACTACGCTTTGCGTTCTTCGATTCGTATTCCGAATCGGTCAAATCTCTTCGGAGTCGCCGAGAGACCCACGGACATCGATGAAGAGGACTCGGCCGTCTAGAAGTCTTGAGAGTTCAACGAGCCAAGGCGCAAGAAGACTAGATGAGGCCAAAGTCGGTCGGCTCCGTCGAGCGGGTCTCTAGATTCTGTTTCGATTCGATAGCTTCAACGGAACTTTCCCGGATCTTCGCTCGAGAGGAGGGAATCACTCGTGATCTTGGCTCATTCCGAAGAGGCCCTTACTTCAGGTGGTCCGTCTACCGATTTGTACCATTGTTGACATCGAATCTCATCCCTCTTATCACATATCCTGGAATCGATCCAGTCGTTCTTCTTGATTGCTTACAAAATTTGAGAAGGCCGGCTCGAAGTCCATGCGTTGTTTCTCGCTCCTCAGAGCTCGAAGACCCGGATGGAGGAGTATCTCATACATCGAGTCGAGAATCGGAAGTAAGCTCTCAACAGTAAGGACGTGTCTCCGCAAAGAGCAAAACTCGACGTATGTGCGGCGGGCCAATCGTAAACAGACGTGGCCCGAACGCGCCTTCCTTACGTCCGGTTTTGCGATGATTATGAGCCGGACTTCTCCATCAAAATCAATTCGGCTCGGGATAATTCGGGATTCGGTGCGAAGCATGAACGTATGCTTCTCCAGAATATATCCAGTAGAATGAACCGTAGCTGGGGTCGTGTGGGCTTAGGCTGAACATCTGCAATGCATTAGAAGCGAGGGACAAAAATTCTTTCTCGGCAGAAACTTCGTTAATTTCAGCAAACTTGGGAAGCCCTCGATGTTTTGCACAAGCCGAGCTTTCGATACGGCGCTGCCGGCGCGTCATGGCGAGCAAGGTTTGTGTACAGGGGGCTCATGCCGGGCTGAGAACAGAGACGCGCTTTTTTCCTTTTCGAAGATGACTTTTCCTAAGCCCTGACTTTCGACCGCTCGGAGTGCTTCTTGCGACTTTCAGAATTCCTCGCCAAGGGCCGAGGAGGTTTGGCCAACCGACCGATATTCATTCCGCCAATCGGACTCACTGCCGATCCCTGAGTTTTGACAAAGTTCCTCGGCCAAGTGTAAAGGTCGGGGAGCGATCACGGTATTTCAAAATCAGCCGATTCGGATACCTAACAGTCATCTCATATGAGCTCTCATTGTATCTCTCATCATCGAGAGCTCCGAGTGTGTTCATAATTCGTCTGCGGGAGTCATCCGAGAGCGCGAATCAGACGAAAACGAAAAGCAAGCACATTGGCAACCAGCTCCCGCAGAGGTCAGGTTTCTCGCCAACCCCCCTCCCTCCCCCCGCCCTCCGCAGGCTCCGCGCGGGAGGACAACCGAGGAAGGCTTCCGCCTCGGCCTCGCAAAGAATTAATTCACCGAGCCACATCCTCGGATTCTGCAAGAATTTTTCAAATCAACTCGAAACGCGGGGCCCGCTGGAATTTTCTTGGCAAATCTTCAGACTCCCCGCCACGCAGAATTCCACTCGCGCGATTCCGAGTCTCGAGCGAGCTTTCAACGAACCCAAGATGACTTCACATGCATGGAATGATAATCTTGAATGCGCGGCAGGCAGACTTTCGTCAGAAATCGTGCAACGCGCATGGATGTTACTCTATCTATTTGAAGTTCTGAGTCTCTTCTGAATTGGCCGTGTTTTCCTCTATAATGATTCCGGCCGTCCCTAGCTGGCCTCCCCTCGCGGTGCGGCAGGGGCTTCATACTTGGAAATTGTCAACGCGCATTCCCGTCAAGCGCAAACTCCACCATAGAAGAGAAGCAAGTCCCTCTCCTTTGGAGTCGTGGTCGCCCCGAAATCCTCCCTGAAGCCTTCAATCGACGCTATGCTGAGAAAGCTGCCGCCCCAAGGCGAGATCATCGGCACCGGGACAAGCCTGGTCCTCTAACCTCCTCGCATCACGATCATCATTGTGAGTAGCAGCGATTCTAGATGAAGTGGCTGACGCTCGCTTTCCCGCGGACAAGGATTCGGACAGTAGGAAGCCATCGAGCCTTATTCTTTGGAACGGAGGGAAGAAGATGATGGAAATTGCGGGAGGAACCCAGGATCGACAGCCCAGGAATACGGATGCCTCCTGAGAGCAGATGAGCTCCACACAAGAGACGCCAAACGAGTTTCCAGGAATCACCCTGGAATTTCGTTCAAGAGGATCATCTCCGAATGGGAACACCCGCAATCCGACGTGTCTATGGTATAATGGATCGAATCCGCAGCCTCCGCCCGGTGCCGGGTCTCACAATCAGTTAGATTGACAGGGATCCCGAAACTCCTAGCGTCAGGGGCTTAGATGCACACGGTCTGAACCCCCAGGGTTCGGCATCGACTGTAGCTTGCTGCTGCTACTGTGAAGCAGAACCAACGAGAGCTTCAATTATAGTAGACGTTCCCGAGCTGTCTTCGCGATTGGATCCGCTCCCGCAGCGAACGGAAATAATGGCTCACATTTAATTGAGTTGCCTAATGGCTTGCAGATAATTCAATAAGCTTCCTGGTCATAAGTCAGTTAGCGAATCTGTGAGCGCTGTCGCACTTTTCCCGTCGTCTCCCAGCCTGGAACAGAGATTTCAACACTTTACTTACTTCCTTGCTGGGTGTCAGAACAAGGATGAAGAAACGGACCTCGTGAGAGGTCCGACCCATGTTCGCCGGGTGTTTCAGCCGGGCTACAGCTACGTGACGCTTCTGTAGCGACGGCAACGCGCACCTGCAAGAATTAACATGAGTAAACTAGCATTGAATTCTAGATTCGAGACTTCCGTTCAATCGCTCTCGCTGGACCCGCTCCTGTCTCCGCGCTACGATCGAGTCGACGCGTTGAACGATGGACATCGTTCACTCAGCATTGCTGCGTAGGCCTCTTCCCATTGAGATCCGACCTTGGGAGAGAATCGGTTCGTCACGACAGAGTCGTCCGAGCTCAGGCCGCGGTTGACTGAGGAGTACTCCCGGAGCAGCGAGTGGTGTCACCGATATTCAATCAGCTGATACACGTTCAAGATTACGCAAACGAGCTCACAAAGTCTGAGTGAGTCCTGTACTCGGTCCCGCGATGCTGCAGGGGCAGAAACGCGATTTGCAGATAATGCCGCGAGCGGCTTCGTGCCGGAGAGCTCCCGAGTCTTCCAGGGTTGAGCTGAGGGGAGCGGAGAGCTATCTAATGACTTTCCTGAAGTCCAAGTTCTCTTTTTGTTTGAGAGTGAACGAACCCGACACATTCTGATTCATTCATGGAATTACAGCTCCGAGAAGTGATATCTCTGATGAAATACTTCCAACCCCCCCCTCATGCGAGGGAATCAGCTGATCTCGGACAAATTATGCCGAGAGATATGAAGATTCCGGCGAATTTTTCGGAGAATGGATCATTATCGCCAGACAATGTATTGAGCTCACGTAGGGGGGTATCAGCTTGGGAAGCGGCTTCCCGGGCAGGAACGTATCCAGAACTTTTTACGTCTGGGGGCTGCGTAAGAAGGAGCAAGCGGACCCCGGCGCGATGCTGAGTTTTCCCCTCCCCCCGAGTGCGCGTCACGCCTCTCTTGATTTGGAGACGAGGGGTCGCGTGTTGCTGGCTCTTGCCTGTCCCCATGATTTTCATGACGCAGTAACCCTCGGAATGGGAGGCTGGTCCTCTGGGTCGTGAAAAAACTCCGCTGCGAGCCGTTGACTCAACGGAATCTGCATTGCATTCGAATTGTTCCGAACAAACAGTTCCCTTCGCCGCTCATCGGGCCGTTCGCAGACTCACTCCAAAATTCATGAGTTCGCAAATGAGACGACTTCTCATCTCATTCGACCGTTCGTCCGTCCCGTCAAATGAGCTCGCGCAAAATCCAGCTGCGCCTTCCTTGTTGAATACGCTCGAAGCTGGGGAGTTCCCCAGAGAACTCCACGAGCGTCGGGGGAACGTCACGAGTATAGGCAGACATCGCCAGTATTTCGCAGAATTTGTCGACGAATATATACCGTCATTCACCCCTTTCCGGTGTCGAAGCACTGGGCATCCTGTCGAGAAGAAGTCTACGACTGTCTTGCGAGCAACGAGCTTCGGAGTTCCAAGTCTACAGTCCTCTCGAGTCCGTGCAAAGCAGGAATCTCACGACAGCCCTCCCGGCTTGAAGGCAGAGCAGGGACACGGCTTGGAATTGAAAATCGCATGCGCTCCTTTGCCGTGTATCCCTTGTACCTGTGTCTAGCGTCGGCATGGATACACTTCTTGTGTGACGTCGTTGACTGAGCAACGTTATTGCGTTTCGAGTGCTCTACTGCTGTCGATTCGGGAGGTGGGAGAATGAGGAGAACAGCTCAAGTACTCACACTGCGCAGATCCATGACTGGTCGTAGTCGAATCCTCCGCCTTCCCTCACGTAGGTTCCCTGGATAGTTCGAGACAGAAGGTGCACTGGAATCGAAAGATAGCCCTGGTTATCATCTGTGAGAGGAGATCACGTGGTCAAAAAAATCGAAATGCGAATGTCTCGCTAGCTAAGCGATGGTCGCACGCGAAGTTCCATGATACCCCGCTGAGCGCTCCCGAATCTTCCTAAGGGAAAAAGGCGTACAGCAAAACAGCGCTACGGGAGACAATGTCGGAGCTCAATAGGAACGCGCGCACGCGCCCCCTTGACCTCGGGATCTTCTCGCTCGCATGAGGAATAAGTTGACGAGACTTAGATCCGGTAACGAGTTTTCTTGGAATAAACTTGCAGAGAAGCCGCGACCTCAGGACGTATACGGGGAAAAGGTCGCTCCTGGACAACAACGGTCCAAGGAATTTTGGAGACAAGAGTTTTCGTCAAATTCTGCTCTCGTGAGGGAGGAGCTGAGCCGATTTATACCCGAGTTCTTGTGTAGGTACATGCATGGATCTGAGCGCGCGTCCGTTCCTGAGTGAGTCTGTCTGTTTACGTAAGTATGTATGGAGTGTCCCTCGAGTTTCTCACCGAGGACGTCCGCTCCCCCCCTGGTCCTTTGATAGAAAACAAGACGAACTGTTCCTTCCGAGTGAGAAATGGTCCGAGCTCTTGTCTTCCCTGCTACCAGGGGATTGACGACGACGCGGCGGCGGCAACGCACGCAGGCGGATGGATCGACCGTGTCCGACCGACCGGCGGCCAGTCAGCCGCGTCGACAAGGGAGCCAGTCGGGATTCGGGAGGCTACGAGGAGCACAGCGATCGGACTGCGTTGTTCGTCTTTAAGTTCACTGGGGCCGTCAATGATTGAAACAAGCGAATCCCGTACGCCGCGGAGCCGAGTTCAATAACTTGTATCGAAGTGAGGCCGGACAGAGGCGTTTGATGGACGAGACTAAGGGGACACGCGGGCGGAGAATGCCCGGTAGCCAGAAGACGTCGGATCCGTGGGAGGGTGTACCGATAATGAGATTTAATACGGGGTGGACGATGCATCAGAGAGCTGTATTGCTGTCTAGTTGTAGTAGGAACTGACTCGCCTACCATCCGACTGAACGGATGGACCGATACGAGAATAGCTAAGGAGCGGCTGTGAGCCTTCTCCGCTGGTCCCGTTGATGCAGTGGACGATGGCGTGAAGGACGATAACAAAGACCCCCTCAGTGAGTATACCACCAGTTGCACTGCATGCTCGACAATCTCTGACCATCCTCGGCAAACGTTTCCGTCACACCTAGAATCATTGTTGCGTGCGGACCTTTGTCGACGATTCAGCGTGTTCCTCAATATAACAGCTCTGTAACAGCTAGCAGACATGCGCGCCTAGCGGAGGGTCGCAAGCTGTGTAGAGATACGGCTCAACACTCTCCCTCGCATTATTGGGAAGCCCGCGTTCCTTCATCACATGACATCGATAAGTGAGCCCTCCCCGAACCGGCAGTCGAGGCTCGAATTCAGAAAAATTATTCCCTCTGGTGTTCTGCTCGCTTTTTCAGTAGCTTGCACTCAAATCTCTTCCACGGCTCCTAAGTATCAATGAGGGCACCAAGAACGACGAAGATCCATCGAGGTTTAAGCTTAGAGGAGGCTCATTTCCTCGTCCGCTCTATCTCGTCTCCGGTCTGATTGTTGCCAGAGGGGATCCCCCACCAAATGACTCCTTCACCGGGCCTTCGGAAGTCGCCCCTGCTAAGCTGATTGGCGCGAAGCTTTGGTCGTCATCCGTGGCGAGACTTTCGCCGAAGTTTTCCGCCGATGGAGTCAGTTTTCTTAGCGAGGACAGGGTCGTAATTTAGGAAACCCAAGAAAAAGTTGCCGAATCACGACGGCAGCTGAGGGAGCGGATGGAGAGAGCGGCAAACTGCTGTGCAACTTTTGATCAGTTGAGAGCGTGATGAAATTCAAAATTACGCGACGCCATAGCGCGACCGTGCCGGGTGTTGGAAAGCACCGCGTGCTAGCGTCGGGACATTCATGAATCGCGTGGGGGAGAATGCCGGATCGGGAACCCTAGATGAGTAGGAGCCTGTCAACCTCCAAGTAAGCTTAATTAGTGCTTCGAACCCCTGGGCTCGCCCCCTGCCCCGCCAGTCTCCGTTCAACGCCCACCTCCTCGAAACCTCGGTCTTGTCCCCGGGAGCGACTCTCTCACGGTCTGCCAGAGGAAAGCTTGACTGTTCTCCCCGATCGTTCGGCTTAGCAGAAGCTGCTGTGTGATCCCTCGGATGTGGCGCGAGAGCTCAGAGCAAGCTGCATCCATGTGGTTCCTGGCCGCCAGCTCGGGAAAACCCGGGATCTCACGCAGTGTGTAAGAGGTCCCGGTGCCACTCAGACCTCTGGCTTACCGACTGCACGTGGCGCAGCGGGTGACTCGGCGGGTTGAGCGAAAGAAGAAAGGAGAGGTCAAAGGTTATAAGCGGGATCGCTTACAGCGCCATTGTAACAGGCGAGCTTTTTCTTCATGGGTGTACCCCTAATAGCGGAACAGCGTCGCCTTCAAGATCCGACCTCACCGCGGATGCGGCACGTACTGAGCAAGGCTTTCGAAAGGAGCAAACGCAGCGGTGTTGATCGGCGGACCCGTCATCCTAAAGTAACCTCTGTCACGAACTAACAGTTCGGTGGATCTAAATCTTAGGTAGAGAAACTCAGTACGACGCGAAAGCCACTTGGAGGAGCTTTCGCGGGCCAGGGAAAGGGGGAAAACGGCGAGGAGGCCGTAGACAAAACGGCGGTCTCGAGCCGCCAGTAGTCAGTAACAAGTGACAGCTTGCGGAATCGATTCGCGGTCGATTCTGTCAGGTTCTGTATTGCTCAAATAAAGTTATCGCCCTGGTGCCCACCTCCTGTGAAACATAATAGAGGTTGTTTTCCATCAGATAGTGGCGGGACGGTAACAACCTCCCGAACATCCCCCGAGAAAATATAAAGGTATTCCAAATCGAGCGCCGAGAGGCGCCTCCTACCATCCTTCCGATCACTCGAGCACGACGCGAACCGGCTAGAGAACGCCGACGGAGTCGAGGCTCCATGCCCCCCCCTCCCCTTCGATGCGATCATCTCTGTTGGAGATGTACAGCGGAATCTACGGCGGAAGGGGGAGGGGGGACGATTTGAGATGAGCTGTCGTTAGCCTTATGGACAGAGATATTCGAGTATTGGATAAAAATTTTATGATCGACCGCTTCAACCCCCTGACCACACCTCTTCTCTTCATACTCGAGGCCTCTGCATCACATGGCGCCTATTCGGGAAGTTTCCCCCCGGGAAGCGTGGAGTGAGGCAACGTGGAGAGTTCACGCGCAGTTCCACAAGCAATCAAAAGTTCATAGACCTCGGAGATGTCTCCACGGCTTGCTCTTCTCATCGGCTTCGGAGGAATTGCGGACTTGATCTGCGGCAATTTTCGAAATTCCGCTCGGAACGATTTCCATCTCATCGTTATCGAGTCGTACAACACGTCCGCACAGAAAACCCCACCTGGCTCGCAGGGAACTTCTGCGATGCTCTGGGATCCAGGTTTTCACGCTCTTGCGCTGGGGACTTCGGAGGCCGCGAATTCCGAACGTTCCTGTCGTCGTTCATCGAGAGATTTTTTTCTTCCTTTTCTAATTTTTTTTCCTGAAATTCGAAACAACTCTGGCGCGTTTCCCTCGCGAAGGTCCGACGATTTTCTCGTGCGCATACCGCCGCTGGAATCCCTCGCTGGGAACTAAGAAGTGTGCTCGAGGACTCGGTACCGAAAGACTTACGGCGGTGCCGACGGTACCCGACGACGAATTTAGGTTGGCGAACCGCGCCCACACAGATTGGAAAGTATGAGCCCGATATCCGCGAGAGAAAACCAATGTGAGATGGACATGACTCGACGAGCCTTGCTCCCTGCCTTCTCCCAACCTCAGGACGAGCGTCAAACGACTGCGGATAATAGAGACTATCGGGAGGGAACCATGAAGACCCGAGGGATTCGTCCTATCTTATTAGGTGCTCGTCTTCATCCGCATCGCTCAGGACTCCGTATCAGGAGATGAGTCCCCTAGTGATCGAAAAACCTTATCGCCCGATCAGTGATCACAGCAAGGCTCCTGAATTCACGATGTTCGATTGATTCCCCCTGTCGGGATTTTTCCGCGCAACGAATGCAGGTGTCATGCCCGCATGCTCAATCGCTGATTTTCAGGCCTCGCCGCTGCGAGTGGACGCTGAATCTGTGCCCTCATCAATGGCTGCGAGGAGAAGACGAGGGACACATCTCGAGCTGATTCGGACGGGTTGCCGTTATCATAAACACTTAATCAGGGAGAGCATCGTTTCGCGCTCAAGGGAACACAAGTGTTTTGACAGCCCTCATTGAAGTAAAAACCTGATGCCAAATCGTCCTTTCATCTCATGGCCTGTGGATCGAGAACCGACAAAGCAGAATGCAACAGGAAGCGTCGGCTACACGGAATAAAAAGTGAAAATTCGATGTTTCATGTTATACTAGCGCTCCCGGTCGCCGCTTCGCGGCGACTCGGTATCGCTAGACTCACTACGCATGCGCTAGCTCCGAGTGCGCTGGCTCCGGGTGCGCTGGCTCCGGGTGCGCTGGCTCCGGGTGCGCTGGCTCCGGGTGCGCTTGCGTTGGGCGCGCGAGCTTTGGGTGCGCGTCCCGTTTCCCCGCTTTCCCGCTTTCC